TTCATGCTCGTATTCGTCAAAAATGCTTTATCCGTACCGGATACTCGTCTGAAACATTTCATTTCTTGAAGACATTTCGCTTCTCATTCAAGGAGCTTTGTCAATTTAATTTGGAAATTGCCACGTCGCGCTAGTTTGAAACAGTCCATAGACTATTATAATGGATTCTTTTTGAAGTAGTGACGTTCCGCTGTCGTTCCACGCCGCTGATGCTTTCAGTGCGAAACCAAGTTTAGTCCAGAAAAGTGCAGTTCTAGGAACAGCTAAGATACTGCACAGAACCCTCAAGCTCCCAGGCCTCTGCTAGAGGACCCGAGCTTGGAAGGATAAGAGACTGCCCGTGGAGGGTGAGGTGAGAAAAATTTTATTAATATACATTAAATATTTTTATTAAAATTATCGCAAATTGCAATAAATACTAGAAAATGGTTCACCAAGCGGAAAAAGCGGATTAATGGTGATATGATATTTTGACCATATCGTCTATTCTTAGGTGAAAGTGATAAATAGGCCCAATTATGTATTCATTTTACAAATAAGTCTTACATTTTATCAAAATTACATCAAAGCACACCAAATTTTGTTCTGTCTAACTGAAATTTGATCAACTTTTTAAAGTTATTTATTTGACACAAGACAGTTTTGTGAACAACAAATGTCTTGCCATCCTGCCATCTTCTTGACAGTACAATGAAAATCAAAGACATTTTGAGAAATCTGATGACTTTACACGCCACAAAATGCTGTCACTTTGTGACAATGGGAGACAATGAGTGGCTTTTGATTTTCTGATTCATGACAGTGTCGACACCATTCAGACATAAAAACTTTGGGTAATTATTTGCCCCATGCCTGACATTTCGCATGTTAAAACATGCAGAAGTAAACAACAAAAGAAGCGGAATATCACACAATACAAACACCTGCTAATCTTGTACAGTTCTGGTCTATTAATCTATGTTCAAATAGACTTTTCTGCCTAGTAGAGTGTTGCATATTATTAGCAAACAAAAATAATGAGTCACTTTCCTTGTATCTGTCTGCAGCAGCGACTGGTCATGTTGAGTATCACCATGGGAACACAGGTGCTAAACCAAAGCTGATGATGGCTCTATTGGTCTGAAATAAGTAATTGATTTAAAATGTCTAAAAACAGATCTCAAGCTTGTAGCTGAGGTTGTGTTTTTATTTCAGGCACACAGTTCATTAATTCCAAAGTTCCTTTGAAGCCACAGTGACTGACATAAATGAGAGCAGCCCAGATGTGAAAAACAGCCTTGTTAAGTCATTTTCCCGATTCTTTCAGAGCCGATGATTTTGTAGCACACAAACCCTGACGAACCTTACCTAAGAAACAAAATAAAATCTGCTGTGACTGTTGGAAACAAGTGGGAGATGATAATCTGACACAATGAATTGGTGTGTATATCTGAACACACACATTGTACAATATAAGGGCCATTTTGGGCCGATTTTGCACGATGAGGTCAGGCTGAGTTTCGTGTTATATGTATAGGGGGTAATGAGTGGGGTAACAATGAACACCTAGCTCCTGATCAACAACCTTGCAGTTGCACAAAACTCAACACGTTTGACACTCTGCTACTATTTCTAGCATATTTTTACTATTGTGCAACTTTTCTTATAAGAATTTAGTAATAAAGTGTCTCATTTAGGTCTCAGTTTGGTTTGCAATTGGGTCATCATCCCCTACTTTCACCTCACCTTTCTCACAAAAACTAAATCAAGAAGGACTCCAGATGACTTCCAAATCCCAGCAATGATATGTGGCCATACTGGTGAAGGTTTACAATCATCCAGGTCATGGTAATCCAAAGGGGTTCAAATGAAGGCAACTGGATTTCTTTGAAGAAGTTTTGTTTCTCATCTGAGAAGGTTTGCCAATTCTTACTGGAACATGGGAGGGTCAAGCTTATAAAATGTAGTTGTCAGTTGTCTCTTATCGAGCAGAAACTACCTATGACCGTATCATTTACGCAGTCCAATATAGTGAGGACTGCCCAGATCTTTATATTGGGGAAAGTAAACAACAATTACACAAATGCATGGCACAACACGAGAGCCACCTCTTCAGGTCAAGACTCTGCAGTCCACCTACACCTGAAGGACAAAGAACACAGCCTTGAATATGACAATGTTCACATTCTAGACAGAGAAGGTAGATGGTTTGAGAGAGGAGTAAAGGAAGCTATCTATGTCAAATGGAAAATACCTACATTAAATAGGAGGATGAGGTGTCAGGTTTCACCTTTCCACCACCTATAATGCAGCCCTGAATCAAATTTTCCAAACTGTTTCAATCTATGTCACACCCTCCAGCATCTAATCCACAGGTATCAAACTTTGGTCCTTGAGGACCGCTTTCCCACATGTTTTAGTGTTTTCCCTGTTTCAACACACCTGATTTCGATTAGCAGATGACTAACAGGCTTCTGGAGAGCTTGATGAACTGCTGTACAGATGAATCATCTGTTGGAATGGGGAAACAACAAACATATGCAGAATACCAGCCCTTGAGGACTGGAGTTTGACATTCCTGATCAATACAATAAGTACCACATACTAGAGACTAACAACTCATTAGGGGGTGGGAAGGAGAGGTATTCATACGTAGTTTCTGCTCATTAAGCAACAACAAACAGCTACAGGGTGTTTCTCAATGTCACGGCGCCTGGCCTTGTGAGGCAATATCTTGTGGGGCCAGGCGCCTTGTTTACGAGGACAATGTCCTTCCTTGGTCAAAGAAAATGGTTAAATGGAACAGATTTACATCACGTGACCACGGCTTCCACAGAGGTCACGTAACTTCACATGACACGGAAGATAACATTATGTCTGCAACCAATAAGCAACTAACCAACCATAGATTATTTGGATCTGAAAAAAACATTTTAAATTAATTGTCTTACTTTTAAACTTGAAATTTGCCTCCAAAGTAGCTGTCGGCTTCTGATCCACCATCCTTTTGAAAATACTGCGGTGTATTCTGGGAAATTTTTGACCAAGGCTAGGCTACAAGACAGGTTACAAGACACCTCCTGTGTATCCTTGCTCAGCTAGCTAAACGGCTAACAAACAGAGAACACACGCCTCGGCAGAACATGAACATTGGAACAAGTCTCGGCGTTTGCTGATGATGTATCTCTTAGGCAACTGGGGCGGGGCCAAGACATCACGGCGTGGTTCCTTGGCATTGAGACATACCCACAGTTTATATGCTTGACTCTCCCATATTCCAGTCAAAATTGACGAAGCTCCTCGAGTGGGAAGCAAAGCGTCTTCAAGAAACCAAAGAAGTCCAGTTGCCTACATTGGAACCCCTTTGGAATTGTGACTATTTGAATGAGGAAATGTCCAACAAATTGTCTGAATGTTTTAAATATTCCTGCAGCACAAGCACAAGTAAACTGAGAATTTCTCAGGTAGGACTGGGACGATAATCAATAAATCAATTAATCATACGATTGATGAAAATTAACTCAATAATTTTTTCAGCCTCGACATACCAGTTTTTGCCAAACACGTGACCTGCATGTCAACCACACCCCATTAGTGGCATTTTAGGTGTATGGCTCGCGTTTCTAGGGAAAGCCGCAGCTGAAGTTGAAGCAGCACAAGAGTCAAAAAGGTGGATAAAAAGAACAAGGATGGACGCATCCTTTACATGAATAAAACTGTGGAGGAGGCTAGAGATCGGTATTTTCAGAAATCGTCTGCAATCAATAACGTAGATCTCTACGACCTCAAAGGAAACGGAGCTCAGACGTTTTATTACTGCCGAAGATATAGCACTTGTCTAAGTTAAATAAAGGCTCATTTGTTGCATTTTAAAGGGCATACTTGCATTATTATGATATATTAACATTACATAAGTAGTAGTTTTGGTCTCGATAATGTCTACAATAATATCGTTTATCGCCAATAATGTGTTGGACAATGTATCATTCAGCAACATCTGTCGTCCCGGGCCTATTTTTGGATAATCTGGATGCATCTTGGCAACTATTTACTCATTTATTGTTAATAGCTGCAGTCCAGTGATACACTGATCTAACATCCTATTGATCAGTACTGATCCTCACCATTTACCAACTAATACAATAGTTTTATTGTTAGACAAAGAGCCAAAGACTTATTCAGCATGAATTAATGCTACTCCCCAAGGGTTTGAATCCCTTTTCTGGTACCAATTATTTTCATTTTAGAACACAGTGACAATAATAGCAATTTGGAATGACTGAATGAGGAAAACAAAGATGTCTTTGATTGCTCTGTGTAATGCAGCATGGGGCTCAGACGGAAGTCAGCTGTGTTTATCCCTCCGGTTATCCCTCCATCTAAATTTCCCCACCTACCTGAAGACCTAACTGAAGATAAGGCTCTAGGGGGAAAAGCTACTTTAACGGGAATATTGTTTTTTTCACACTTTCTATTTTCACTCTCATTCTCTTTCCAATTTCTTTGTATTTATTTAGCTGTGTGTGCGCGCGTGCGTGTGTTTCTCCCTGTGGAGCAGGACTTTCTCCAGGAGGGTGTTTTGACAGCCATCCTCCCTCTTGTAGCTGTAGACTTTATTGGCAGTCTCTCACAGTGAGGGTCTCAGTCTTACCCCACACCAAACCACTACCCACAGTTTTAAACACCACCTTCTGCTTTCAGCTCATCTTTAAACCATTTTAAAAGGCACCATCAAGGCAATGGTGGCATCTATCAAATGCAAATAATTACTGCAACACAGTACATCACACATAAACCTTTTCACATCTGAAATCCCTTCACTTAGTCTTCAACAAAACCCTTAAAAGACAAAGATGCATGTGAAAGCAATGAGGTGTTTCTGTGCCTATTGCAACAGCCAAATGAGTGGTAAGGATTACAGATTTGTTACTAATACATAGACGGAGAAGTATGCATTTGCTTAAGAGAGAAGAACAGCAACTCTTTACACCAGCAGAATATTCATTACGTGGTGCTTTTACCTGAAGGCAAGCAGGCGCTCTACCATGTGGTTTGTTGACGTCCACAGCTACGAGTTGCCATCCCCCAGCGGCATCTTCATGGAACATCTGTGGCACAGGGGCATCACACACGAACGCACGCACGCACGCACGCACGCACACACGCACACACACACACACACACACACACACACACACACACACACACACACACACACACACACACACACACACCCTACAGATCATTCAAAGTTCTGGCAAAAAAAAAAACATATCAAACCCTTTGGCTAAATCATCATGAAACATCTGTGGCCACATAAAAAAAGCTTAAGGCATTATCCACACAGATTCATGCACTAACACAGCAGGGAGCTAGCTTCTAAATGCAGAATCCATGCCTAAAGACTTAACTCTAGAAATAAAACCAACAGAGACACTGAAGTATATCAGACAGCTGTTTCATTTAATGATACAAAAGAAAAGTACAAAAATATAGGGCTTAGCCTGGCAGAGACAGCCTAAATAAATGAGTCGTATATGCTGTCGTTGAACATTTGCTAATCCTCTTAATGATGTGTTGCACAACACTTTTTGATGAATCAGTTTCAAATTAAGAAAAATAACTTTAATTAATAAGCAAATTAACAATAAATTACCACCAGGAAAAATACCTTGGTTTTTTATGGATTTTTTCAGACATTTAGGTGTGTTTCAGTATCAAAGTAAGTACAATCTTACTCATTGCAGATAACTTTTTTGGGGACCTTGTTTTTTTATCCAAACAGCTTTTATGTCCAACAGGACTGATGAGCTAACAGCTAGTCTGAATGCAGCCAAGACCAAAGTTTATTGTCACTATCCTAGCATAGCTTTAGTCTAGGCTAGATTAGCCTTTACTTTGCTGTCTGTTTTGAATTACAATGTTGTTTTTGTCAGAAATATTAGGAAATCTCTGCCAGAGATGACTCCTGGATGGAAAGGGAGGGTTACAATTAACTTGTAAATAACCACATAATAGAAACAGATAGTGGTGTAACAGACTATAAAATAGCCTTACATGAACTGCTGTGGACATTTACAGCATGGGGCCATTTTAAGATGGCAGCATTCCACTTTAGTCTTGACTACACTTGGATTAGCTGTTCACTAATCAGCTTTGCAAGAACTAAAAACAAATGTTCTCCCAAAACAGACGACCAAGGCAGCAATCAAAAGCACAATATTCATGTTTATTCATTATGCAGATGCTTTTATCCAAATGGATTTGTAATTTTACGTAGCATGCATGTTTTTGGTCTGTGGGAGGAAAACCAGAATGTAGAGACCCCATGCTTGCAGAGCAAGAATATGGGGACTCTACACAAAAGGCTTTTAGCTGTGAAGTGACAGTGCTACCAACTGCTCCAAAATCAGATGCAAATTTGACACAAATCATACATTGCAATTCCTCAACATAAGCTGTTTGACTTTGGGAACTGTTAAAGCAGTTCTTTATAATAGGGATGATTGATATAGGCTTTTTTACAGCTATCTGATTTTGTCTAACTTTTAATTTCCAAATCTGATACTGTGAGACATCATTGTTACAAACAACCTTTGTTATATTGTCTGTGTGAAACGTGACAGAGAGGGCTCACAACTCAGACCTTTACCATGACTGACGTAGTTTCCGTTTCCTCCGCTTTCGGTGTTACATTTGGGCACAGACGGGAGGGTAAACGGCTCAGGAACATGGTAATATTCAGTTATACGATTTACCTCAGAGAACATTTGTCTTTGTAACAACCAATGTGTTTAGGGAATGTTTGGGTGTGTGTTAAAGTTACTTAGTTGTAAGCAGCGTGAGAATCCACATGGTAAGCAAGGCTAATTGCGAAGTGCGGTGCTAAGATGTGTGTGTTAGTAATGTACTTTTAATTTATTTATATTGTAGTTACGGTGATAAAACATTTATAAAGATCTTCATTTAACTCATTCACTGCCACTGACGACTAAAGTCGTCATTTCAAATCCAACCGCTCGCTGCCATTGACAACGAAACGGGTGTGGTAACAAGCTCCGGCACCTTCACAGTGAACATCACAGCTCTAAAGCTGATTTCCATCTCTGTGTGTCACATGTCACATGACCAGGAGGCAGAGAATCCACAAATTAGGAGATCATTTTTGGGAAGCCGCTATGCCTAAAGTGACGCGCTAACCGGATAAAGCTTCCGCAGCTCACTCTTCCACGGATTGTGAAACAACAGAAAAGGCTAGAAACGAACAGATTTGTCCTGATGTAAGATGTTAGTCTACTCTTTCTTTTGGTAGTTTTGGTGTTTACGTGGTCATGGAGCAAAATTCCTGTGACTTTTCAAAAAACAGGAAAAAGGTTAAAAAAATAAATAAATAAATAAATAAACACTGTCAGGGGCTTTCTGATCAGAAATCAGTAGCAGTGAGTGAGTTCACCCTTTAAGAATGGCGGGAGCGCCGGTGCTCCTATTCACATATCTGTGTTCAAATTCTTGTAGAACTGAAACTATTAAAGATAGAACAACTTTTTTTTTTTTTTTGCATATTAAATCGGAGGAGTTACACTTATATCTTACACACTGAACATGTCCCAGAGCGCTGTGTATTTCCACTAATGAGTTTGCAAAAAACAACCAAAATGTGCAAATAAGAAAAGCATTTTCATTCAGACACAGACGCTGGGTCGTTCTGATCTGCAGCTCACAAGGCTTCACACGCTAGAATAAACGCCATCACTTTGTTAACGTGAACTGTCACATGATTATCACTCACCCAATCACTTGCTTTGACATCATTTTCCCGTGAATTAGTTCTTTGTAGTCCCAGTCTTTCTGCCTTTTCTTGTGCCTTTTGGCAATAATACATTTAGACAAACGTTTTGATGAATCACAGACCCGCCAAACGGTACATCCTCCCTCCTCGAAGCAGTTGACGCCATTACAGAGCCGGATGATGTTTAGGTTTCAGTTTCTGGGTGTTTCTCAATGTCAAGGTGCCTTGCCTTGCAAGGCCAGGTGCCTTACATTGTCAAAGAAAACGGTTAAATGGAACAGACTTGCATCACATGACTGCGGCTTCCACGGCGGTTAAGTAACGTCACGTGACATGGGAGATAACTTTATATTTTATATGTATTAATTTCAAAATAAATATATAACAAGCTTTTACTTTTTAAATTGTGTATATATTTATTAAATCAAAAATATAATCGAGTTGCTACCCGCTAGCCACCAAAGCTTCAACTACTAAGCAACTAACCAACAAGATAACTTCTTTGGATTAAAAAAAATAACATTTGAAATTAGTTGACTTACTTTTAAACTTGAAAATTGTCCCTGAAGTAGCTGCCGGCTTCTGATCCGCCGTCTTTTTGAAAATACCATGGTGTATTGTGGGTCATTTTTGACCAAGTCTAGGCTACAAGACACCTCCCTTGTAACCTTACTCAGCTAGCTAAACGGCTAACAAACGGAGAGCACATGCCTCGGTAGAACATTAACATCAGAACCAATTGGAACACGTCTTGGCGGCTCCCGATGACGTATCTCCTAGGCTACTGGGGCGGGGCCAAGGTTCCTTGGCATTGAGAAACACCCTCTGTTTCCTCACGTTTATATCCACGCAATATTCTTTGTTATGGTTATTATTATTAGTGAGATAAAATGAAAACTGTATACTACTGAAGAATTAGAGACATTCAACATTATTATTTTAGACTCCTGTTGATTTTTATTATTTATGTTTTTGTTTTTCTTACAGTTTAAATAAATGAGTGCATCTCAGAAACTGTTTTATGGAGGCACTTCAAATGAATTTGGTGTTGTTTGAAACAATTTTGTGCAGCTTTTCTTCATTGAAAATTTTGAGGGACAAAGGTGTGGCATTTCTTTATAATGAAAAATATGTGTAAAAACAAAACACAATTTTCGATTTCTGTAGGGATAATTACATTTTTTACATAAATATGTAGTTGCTATGAACATTTTACATATATATTAGTAAAATTTAGAATGTAAGGGTTGCATTTATGTATAGCAAGTTGAAATACTGCAAAAAGTGGCAGCACCGCATGTAAAAATGTAAATATAAGTTCTGGCGAACTTGTTCTAGGGCAGGTCTTAAAGGGTTAAGAAAAGCAAGCCTTGAGTGACAGTTCTTCTGCTTGTTTTAGTTGTTTTGCTAGCTGGCTAGCTACACATAGCTACATGCTGTTAGGACAGCAAATATTGTTTCAGGGCTGCCAACTCTCACACATTGAGCGTGACACACACATTTAACCCACATGCTTTCAAACCACACCTCCAATCTCTCATATTGAAGACCCCCCCCCACACACACACACACACACACACACATGCCACCACCACCACCACCGTCCCTTGCTCTCACAGTAAGCTTACAGAGGCAAAACAGTTCGCACGCAACTTTTGAAAAGTTCAAAAGTTGGCAGCCTTGCTCTATACAAGGCAAATTCTTTATTATATACAGGTTGTACCAAATAAAACTGAAATTCTCAAAAACTAAACCTCAGACCTGTCATATTCTGGCATTTTGAGAGATATGAACCTGAAGAGTTTAATGTATAATATGTTCATTGTATGAAAAAGTTGAGTCACTAGAGTAAAAGCTGATACGGATACTTTCCGATATTACATTTTAAGGCCAATATCATCCAATAAAATTGTTAGACCAATCATATCGGACACTCCTAATTAATCAAGCTATTTTCTAAAGCAAGAGCATGACTTCTCATCACTGGGGATAATATCAGGACATTTTTATCCATCCTAAAATCTATCAAAAAGTAAGTCAACAAGTCTGACCTTGTACAGTTTCCTACAAAGCAATCAGTTAAAAAATACATCTTCAGATCTTCTCACTAAAGAGAAACACGATAGAAAGTCCTAGAAAAAAGTATTTCAGAGGAAATACACCAAGTTTGGGCTGTCATCTCAAGAGTAGTAGGATTAAATTTGTCCAAGCAGAAAACTGTTGCATTAATTGACTCTACAGATACACAAGGGGGACAAACCAGACAGTAAAAGTAAAGATTTCCAACTTCCTCTGAAGTGAAATATCTTCCAATATTTA